ATCAAAATCACACAATACATCTAACTGACACTTGCTCGGTGAACATTCACTCTTGGACCAATCACTTGCCTTTCTGGGGAGGCATTGTTGTAACGTGGCAATCACAAGAGAAATCCTTCAGTTTCCACCAAATACACAGTTGCAAATGCACAGTTACAATGCTGCTCAGACTTCGAGGCAAGCAAGAGCAAAGTAAAATTATATTAATTATTATGCTGGCTGATTTATCACAATATTTGATGTGCACGTGATGAATGGATCTTGAGACATGTTTTGGTTTGAGAAATAATTCTCAAAGACAAGACAGCTGAGATATTTCAAATTCATCAATGCTGCAAACTGCATTTATCCCGTGTCCAAGTAATGGAGAGTTATGCTAACAGTCATCTCCGTTGTTTTGGATTATTTGATTATTTGATTGATTATTTAAATTTTGATTAGAGTTTTTATTTAAAACATTCATTATTGTTGTATTTTTCCAAAACACTGATGCGATGAGGGATAAAGCACATTACCTGCAGCACATGACTGACTGTGAGTAGGTCTGAATGACTTTGGACCTCTGATGGTGCATTCCATTTGTACTTGGAACTCGTTTTCCGAGGTATATTCCGAGTTCTGAGACCGGAAGTGACAAATAGAATGCCCCCGGATGTCGGGGTCAGACAAACTCAGAGGACCCAGAGTTCCGAAAGCAAGATGGCTGTGAAGGGCATCTACTGTCAGTAAAAGCTGTGGTTCTTAAATTTTTCTAGCACTTTTGTCTTTTTTTGTGTCCAATTTAGTAAGTCGCTTACACAATACTGTCTTACCGTTGCCCATAGGTGTGTTGCCACGATCATGTTACCGTGTAATGTGTTGTTTATCAAATGATGCTGCTAAAACTGGCTAAGTCGATGTTACTAACAACAACAATGGTCGCTGTTGCTACAACATGGCCATCTTGTTGTCCAACCTGTGGTGCTGTATGGCAAATGACACACATGCAAGTCAAGTTTCCCTGTTTTTTTAACAGATATTCCGAGGTAAATGGAACGCACCATTACTGTGCCTCCAAATACTCTCAAACTTAGGACCTACTTTTAGCACTAAAATGCTTGTTAACCAAAAACTTAGGAGTTCTACAATTCAGACTGACACACTCCTTATTTTTAAGAGTTCCTCCTAGGAGCTACTTATGATGTTTTGTGAATATGGTCCCTGGACATTTTACATCAAAATATGATGTTTTCAGAATTCAGATTACAGAACAGAAGTCAGAATCTTATTACAGGTGGAGTTGGATGATACTACACAGACACTACAGTCAATGTCCACAGTATGTGAGCTTTATTTACCCTCATTAAGAGTCAGTCCATCCACAGTAGCCTGACCTGTTAAACAGACTTCTCCTTTCAACTATTACGCACCACAATTAAACAGAGGTAGAGGGGTGTGGGGGTGTGTGTATGTGTGTTGTGCATCCCAAACCTTGCTCCAGTTGCGGTGATCCTCAACACTGTCAATGGACAAGGCGATCATCTTCACACCTCGTTTCTTGAACTCACCGCTGAGTTTAGCGGCACGGGCGAGCTCAGTGGTGCAGACAGGAGTGAAGTCCCTTGGGTGGGAGAACAGGATACCCCATCTACAGAGGAAAATAAAGCTATGAGGTCTTGGCTCTACACACAAGTCTACACTCATGGGGGGGGCTGGAGCCTACCCCAGCTGACATTGGGTGAAAGGCGGGGTACACCCTGGACAGGTCGCAAATCTATCACAGGGCCACACATACACAAACAACCACTCACATTCACACCTAAGGACAGCTAAGGAGACACCAATTAAGGAAGCTGGAGAACCCGGAGAGAACCCACGCCGACACAGGGAGAACATGCAAACTTCACAGAGAAAGGCCGGGGCAACCGGGGTTTGACTCATGTATTCCCATTTAAACCTGATCTTGCATAACGTTCAGAGTTTATGGACGGGCCAAGTTGTGTCCTTCTATGCTAAATAAAGTACTTTAAATATTTGCTTCCGTGTACTTAAGCATTAAATGCCCATTACATAGATCATTTGAGTAGTCATGTACATTTATTCTGTCATATGTGTTTTCTTTATACAAGTCCATTGTGATTGTGGATTTATGTCTTGACGCGCCCATGTTTTCCATAGAGTCTAGATTTTAAGAAGAGGCACCAAGACGGATAGGAGAAAGAGCACAAGCAGTGGGAGAAGAGGAAGAACTGGCTATAAAAAAAGAGAAAGACAGAACATTAAATCTCAGTAGAGGAAATTCCAGCCACAGATTGAAGCAACAGGTGTCTGTGAATCTGCCAAACTCAAGCTCAAGACATTAAATCTGGCTCGGTTGTACTGAACAATGAAATATGTTTCACAAGGAAGGGGTGAAGGGTGTGACGGGTCTGCAAAAAAACATCACTGGGCAAGAGTTTAACACTTGAAATTGTTAGAATCACATGGGTTTTCAGCCTCACATGATTGGGTGGAATTAATATTACAACACACTGCAGAGTATCACATGAGGCAGAGGCAACAGAAAAGCTGCACTGCTCACAGGCATTGTGACCACCTGATTATGGAGGGACCAAAAACCCAGATTAGACTGGGACACTCCCAACATGTTCAAGCAGAACAAACCTTAGACAATAACACAGTTTGTAAGAGGAATGTGTTCAGGCGCTGGTGTTGATTTAAACATTGAAAGGAAGTAAAACATTCTGCTTTAAATTTGTATTAAACAACATATTCCTCACAGGGCTATTCTAAGACAAGTGATGTCTGAAGTGACTGCTAAATTGCACTTGGCTACCTCTGACAAACAAACTCGACCAGCGTTGCTAAAAACGTGGTGGCCTCTCACAGTCTAAAATTAAGTCCAAATCATGTGGGTACTGTGCTCCCGAGCCTGGACACAGTGTATGCTAGCAGTCTATGCAAGAGGGCTAGCAACATCAGTATGGACCCAACCCACCCAGGTCAGTGTTTGTTTGCACCCATGCCATCTGGGAAGAGATACAGAATTGTTTACTGACAAACTGTTTCGTGGAATATATTTTTTACTGATTGGCAATTTGGACCTAAATCTCTTACCTGCATTCCACGTGCCTCCCTTTTCATATTTATATTATTATATTGTTTACTTATCTACTTAATCTATGTTTATCCTGCTTTTATTGATGCTGCTGGTCACTGAGAGCTACCAAACACATTTTCATTGTATGGCTACAATGGCAAATAAAGTTTCTTGACATTGACTTTCTTCCCACTGAGGAAAGAAGGACGTTATTGTGCAGAGAACCCGGTGGCATCTTTCTTTTGATAAGGGTGTAGATTTCTACAGTTAATTCTGTTTGGAAACTAGACCCAGTTAGACTGTTGCAACAGGACATCTGCTCATTCACTGTGCGCCCAACCCTCAGGATGAGGAAATGAAGGTGGATATCGAAAAAAATAATTGAAGATGTATTGTGAAACTGGTAGAACTAAATTGTTGTTTGATAAATCTATCCGGTTTAATTACTATTCAAATAGTAATTAAGTTGCTGGTGCATAATACACACATGTCCAACCAAGGGAGTAGTATTCCTTTGTCTCTGCTGTTGTAAAAACTGCTGAGCCTAGCAGGATTGCAGATTTCAGCAGATGCCAATAGGGTGTGCAAGCACTGATGCACAGTTAAAAGGTCACACAAACACACACAATACAGGCCTTGTCCTGACCGTGCTTACTCCTCACTTATGACTATATAAGCCTCCCACTGCTCTCTTTTTAGTTTGCAGCTACAGCAGCTCTAATCGTATCATTCAAAACCACAAATATCTTTGCTTGTAAATGGAAGTAAATGTGTATTTTATCATATGTATGGTAGTCTGCGTTATTATTTTCTAATCCAACCAAGTCATGCTTGTGTAACCTAGTCTGTGTCAGCCAGCAGGTGTCACCGTGAGATCACGGTTAAATTACCTCTATGGACGGATGCTTCAGATCTCTACAGGACCACGCGCCTTGGCTTTTGTTTTCAATCTGATGTGCGGACGCGCAAGATCCTTCAATCCGAGTTTTACAGGCCGCACACTGTAGCGTAGCCTAATAATCCAAACTCGGAATTAAACAAAAGATTTACAATGTGATTTCCTGTGTGGGACGCCTGCGCACTTACGAGCTTCCAAGGAAATCGTGGAACTTGATCCTGCCGATGGTGGTGTCGGCCTCGAAGTTGGGGACCTCGTCTCCCAGCAGAAGTCCAGGCATGGTCGGCTCTCCGCAGCTCAGACTCAAGAGAAAGACAGGAGGACAACCTGACTGGCTGGCGTGACGTTTTCAGCGCCACATGAATGGAGCCGGATATGGGCGGGATTAGCTTCAGTCAACGTAGGCTGGTCATCAACCAACCAGAGAAGAGTCGTAAAAAGTGTTGTTGGAAGAGCAACACATTACGAACACATTACAAGCAGAACCGTAAAATATTATACTTAAATACAAACAAATCTATGCAAATACATCAGTTTATAAAAAAAACCCCAAATCGATAAATAATAATCTTGTGCACAAGGTTTCTTAAAAGCAGGGTTGTATTGAAAGCTTTTCTGTTTCACAGCAGATTTTACTGAAAACTTATAGACAGTCCAACATAATGTGATAATTGCCAAAAGACACAATGATTTTGTGTGTTGTGAAAAATAAGACCGCACTTTCTATGATCAAAGACCAAAGTATTATAACGCTCACCCAGATTTAATGATGCAGGTCGAAAATTCTAATATGAATTTATTGTATTTGTTAAAAAACAAACAAATCGAAATAGTATCCAGACATAGGCTGACATTTTCTATGTTATTTCTCTGTGCTTTGGAGCCCTAATTTAAATCTATTGAAAACACATTAGTGAGCCACACTGTTGTACTGGGTGAAATGTTTATTTTATTATAAGATTAATGCAATGTGCTGTCATAGCAGGAGTCACGGGGGAAACGACTCACGTGTACTTTTCGAGAAGAACACCATTTCCCAGGTAGCTTTGCGAATAGAGCAACAAAGATGGTGATTCAGCTCGATGTCGCCGGGACGTGATATGAATTGTGAAACGTAAAACAGATGAGCTAAAGGAGCGACAGCCCGCACAGCACTGCAGAAAATTTACCGCTGCGGTGCAACTACATCCCACCTAGCTGTCTGCGTCGGTAGATTAACGGGCAACATGCCTTCTCCTAAAGCTAAAACCCCCGGTCGCAGCGGAGGAAGCCCGGTGCTCGGCAGCACCAACGGCCGCTACGACTTCATGTCGTTGACGAAGCCGATGAACCGGTCCTCGCCGTCGCACCTCGTCCAGCGGCAGGGCTCCGACCCGACCACCGCCCGCCTCCGAGCCTCGGAGAGCCCCACTCGGCGCCGGGGCTCCAGCTCCTCCACGGGCTCGGCGAGCGGCCAGGGGCTCCCAGAGGAGGATGGGATACGACTCAACCCATCCTTACTCCGCGTAGCGCTCAGCTCCCTGCTCGCCATCGACCTGTGGCTGTCCAAGCGGCTGGGGGTGTGTGCCTGTGAGGACTCGTCCTGGGGCAGTGTGCGCCCGTTAATGAAGTTGATAGAGATATCGGGACATGGCATCCCCTGGCTGGCTGGGACCGCTTACTGTCTGTTTAAGAGTGACAGTGCTGCAGGACAAGAAGTCATGCTCAACCTTCTCATGGGTAAAACACTCTGCTTATTTGTGTTCCTCCATATGCTGTCCATCTGTGTCCCTCTCCAGGAGGGAATTAACACCCGTAAATCTTTCCTAATGCTGCTCCTCCCTTGATCTCATCTGCCATGTGCAGCTCTTCTGTCAGAACTCACAGGTGATCCCACATCCCAAGTACATTTTCTGACCCATTTTACCTTTAATCCATCAGTGCTGACAGCTTCTCACCCGTAGATGTCATCTGTTGTTCATTCTGGCCCTAATCCATTTCTTAGCAGCTTCCCCACCCTGTTTCTCCTCATATGTTGTCTCCTATAATAAATCACTTCCTGTACTTCTGTCAGCTTGGCAAACAGGTGAGGTTATATTGTGAAATAGTAGGGAAGTACCGCCTGATGTCAGATTGTGTTGTAACTTCTCAGAGGGTGGGGCCCAGTCAGCTCCAGTAGCCTGCTTCAAATAGTCCCAAGTTTGTCTGACTGAAACTTTGTGAGACCACAAGAAAGATTATATAATGATGAAGTGGTGAGGCTAGGTGTAGACCAGTGTGAGCTGCAATGCAGGCCCATCAGAATTAAAACACCACGGACGGTCCCAGCCTGAGTGAAGCATGGTGGGCTGAAGAAGAGTTTGGAAACGGGTTTTAACTTTGATGGACTTTGAAGCGCACACTGGTCTGTGATTAATCAGACAGCAAAGACTTGTTTTTGGACTGTGAATTGATTTATGAACAGTAATGCAGCTTTTACTTTGGACAGCCAGAAAAATCTATAAGGAATTAAAACTAATTCTAAAACAGTGCACTTCATCAAAGTGCACTGTTGCATCCAGCTTGTACATCGAGAATGGCTTGTTGTTAGAGGAAGAGGGTTTGTGTGTGTTTGGCGTTTTCAGTGCCAGAGTATTTGAGAGAGGTCACATTATGTTCCCAGATATGTGTAGAGGTCTTGTTGTTTTGCCCAGTAAAACGAGCCCACAGTGCCAATTCATTCGTGTATATACTTAAATTTCTGTTTTGCCTAAAATGAACATTTGACTTGTTTTTTTTCCTGTGTGTGGTTGAATGAATGGTGTTCTTCTGATGTGGGATACTTTACAGGTGGCAAGTCTGTCTCTATAGGTGCATGTTTCTCAGGTTAGAGAAGCTGTGAAGAACGATTTCTGCATCTGTCTGTGCTTTATCGGACAGGGGGGGGATCACACCTCACTGTTCTTCAGGAGGTACAGCTGCAGTGGGGAGGATTGCTCCAATATGTACATTGAAGTTTAGTAGTACTGGAATAATTTATTTTTGCCACCAAACATCCACTTTCAGTGGTCATTTAAGCATTACCAGTCAACCCTCCTACTAAATGCCTAATGTTACAGTTAGCAGCAGCATTTGGTCCTCTGCATAGACAGTTTCTATCTGCATTAATATAGACCTGTATGTGGTATTAAGTTGCATGATTGTGCATGTAAACCAGTTCAGTATATCCTACCTTATCATAATTACTTGAAGTCACCATTTCTTCAGGATTCTGATATGGACAAAATATTGCCTTCAAATCAAAATGACAGCTTATAAAGGAAACAGCAGGCTGCATTCACATCCCTGCCTATTCTAGTTATGAAACTGTTTTTAACAACAGCCCTTATTTGACTGTTGAGTAGTTATTAATAATTAAGTTCATGTACTGTAGCATATTCATTTTGCTGAAATCCTTTCATTGGACTCCCAGCAGCGATTGGCTTAGTGCCACCTGACAGTTGCATTAATTTTTCAGCACTGCAGCCCCGGACGACATCAAGGAAGAGTTCAGGAAATGTCTTTTATACGCTCAATGCAGTGAGACAACATAAAAAAGTCCTCTAGGCCCTAGTGGAGGGCAGCAATCACCCATTTTAAATATAAGATGCAGATGTAAGCCGCAGGTTTCCTCCAGAAATGACCAGCAACACTCTGTATAGCTCACATTTACTCACTGTAATATTACAGTTAGTCACATAGGCACTTTTATCCAAAGCAACTTACAATTGATTATAATCTATATAGACTGTGTCAGAGGTCGCATGCCTCTGGAGCAGCTAAGGATTTAGTGTCTTGCTCAGGGACACATTGGTGTCACAGTAGGAATTGAACCCATTCTCCCACATCTGTGTGTTTTTCCCTGCTGTGACAAGTGAAAATATCTGCTGTGAAACAGGAATATGGCAGGGCCCTTAAACTAACTCACCTAGAAAAGTGTTGTCGTTTTTAGTGTTATTATACATGACAGTAGTGAGAGAGATCTATCCAGGACCATCAATGTTTGACACACTTACCAACCGATAGAAAACATACCTCAAAGCCCGTTGCGCAACGTAGCACCACGTTTAAGGAAACATGTTGTTCACCTGGAGCAAACCAGCGCAAAACCATTTGAGATTGAACGTGCCCCTAATCTGCTTTCTGCAGTTGACCAATTAGCATTTGCCCTGGGCAATGCATGAGTAATGGGTGCGTTTGTGTCTGTCATAGTGTCAGTCTTGGTACCACCACCAGATGGTACCAAAGCATAGATTTTTCAAATCCTATACATGTACATGCAGTATGGCAAATACGTCTGGCATCGGGCCAAATATTTTCAAGCTGTCAGGCCAAATTATTTCAAATCCTTGGATAGCCTACTCATGTGCACGTTTAGCTCAGTCAGTAGAGTGCAGGACTCCTGTTGAGGAAAATCCATCGACTTTTTTTTTATCCCTTGTTAAACAAATTTACTAGCCTATAAGGACACTTTTGCACATGCTCACAATAAAGCATGCGCTGCAGTCTGTGTGTGTCCCGGCATTTGATCCGCATTCATAAACCAATGGACAGTTATTTTAATTTCTCTGAGGAAATTCAGGGGAATCTAATCACACGTTTACTGACGGCTTTTTCAGAGGTGTGTCAAGCAGGCCAGAGACTCTTTTGAATGTCCTTCAGAACTTGAAGTAAAAGCTCTCAATACACTCAAAATGAAGCATTGCTGTAAAAAACGGTCTTGCGCTTTTATTTTGTAGGCACAATTACTTAAGAGGAAGTGATTATGTGAGTAATTGTTGCTGTCGTGACTGAGATCTATTTCAGCACCAGCCGCTATCAGTTTATTTATTTTTTATTTTTCTGCATTCAAAGCAATCTGACCACTTTGCCAGATATTATTGCTGGTGGGCCACTTCTGGCCCACGGGCCGCCTATTGCCGACCACTGGTATATGGCTTTAACCAACCCTTGTGCTTATCATTCCCGTTTAAAGAAACTAAGGTATTGGGTGACTATCAGTTTATATTGTTGTAATGCACATCTGTACCAAAGGATACAAAGACTACCACTTCAAGTTTCTCATGAATCTGTTTGCCAAGGCTTTTGCATGAATTGCTGTTTCTTTTTACATTATAACACGTCTCCCCCTTCACCCCCTCCAGGCCTGCTGTTGGACCTGGTCCTGGTTGCCATTGTTAAGGCAGTGGTGCGTCGACGTCGGCCAGCGCATAACCGTATGGACATGTTTGCCACCTTTTCTGTGGACCGCTATTCCTTCCCTTCAGGCCATGCCACTCGTGCTGCCATGTGTGGGCGGTTCCTGCTGGCTCACCTGGTGCTGGCTGCCCCACTCAGAGTCCTCGTCCTGCTGTGGGCCGGCCTGGTGGGGCTGAGCCGAGTGCTGCTGGGCAGGCACAATGTGACTGATGTGATGTTTGGGTTCTGGATGGGCCATTGCCAGTATAACCTTGTGGAGATGCTGTGGCTCTCACCTCAAACCCTGCAATGGCTACTGGGACAGTTAGTATAATATTTAAGACAACAGAAGGAGGAGACTTGGAGGTTTAAATCTTGATTGTAGGAGTGCCTGCACACCTTTTGTCTTTTAGACTGATATATAAGAGAATTGTCTTTTGACTAGAGAAGAGAGTTCTATCAAACCCAGTTTTGTTCTACTGTTATCTGACAAAGTACAAAAGCCCACTTTAAGCCTGCCTGTTTTAGATACAGTTGGGTACAGTTTTAATCAGAAAGGACCAATCAGAAACCTATTTGTCCAAATGACTTACTGAAGCCCCCTCATTCTCCTTACTGGCCTGCTTGACTGACAATATGAAGTCAACTCCTTTTTAACAGTTGTTTAGGATACTGGAAATTATTAAGTTGCTGCGAAGGGAGTGTGCATTTCAAAGTATCAGCGTTCCATTTGAGGATCTGACTTGGTTATACCCTATAATTTACACCACATTAATGTGAGTCCTTTTTTTGGAAAAATAATGTTTTTTGTTCTGTTGCTTTATTCAAATAATGCAAAAGCAGTGAGTACTAAAATGATTAAATACTGTAATATATAAGTGAATGATCAGCGGGACAGTATCCTAACACAAACCATGAAATTCCTTGTTTAGTGTGTCCAGTAACAACTGCTGCCAAACTGCACACTGTATGCGCACAGCTGTAAAGCCCCTACTATTATTTCTGTAATGTGAGGCCAGAGTTAATAGCAGAACCTTTCCCACCTGCCTTCGCCTGTCTCCTGTCTTTGGGGTGGTTTCTAGAAACCCTCTAAACTCTCTCCTCTGACAGAACTTTTATTTTCTCTTCACACATCTGATAGGATTAGACATTACATTGTTTCAAGTAGACACACCCAAAGCCTCATAAAAATAGATTTATTATTTATTTAACCATGTCATTCTTACTCCTTTGACAGTATCACTGTTTTATCAATAATCAACCAAAACATATTGCGTATCGCTGATTACTCATCAACTCTGATGCATCACATACACTTCACTTTATTGTTAGCAGGTGATGCACATAAACATAAATCACTTTCAGAACATTTTAATAGATTCTTATGTAGTTGTAATATAAGACATGTATGTGCACTGCTTTGGCAAATTGCTGCTTTTATCAAACTTTTAAATAATCAGCAAGGAGGAAAGGGGGAAACATTACCTGATTTGTGGGTCTAAGGACAGAAATGTCATAAATTTCCAACACAATTCAAAGTCAGAAAAAGAGCATGTGGGAATCCTCTTCTCTAGGCACTGGCCGTTGCAAACGGTGTAATGAGGCTGAGGACTGTACAATACATGTCAGTGAGAGAAAGGAAAGCTGCATATTGAATGAACTTGAGTCTTAGGGAGTAGGGTGCACTATATCTTTACATCTTCATTGTAAAGTAATGGGCTATCCGTTCCCTAAACACAACCTGCTAAACTTCAGAAAGCAGCACTTCTGTTATCTGACAAACCTCTTTTTGTTTACACAACACAATGAGTTAAAGAATATGATCAGCTGTGGTTTTATTGAGCAGTTAGTGGCCCATAGTCTGGCAACAGACTCACATCAGTGACGCTTAACAAGTCATTAGCTTTTGACTGATTCACAACATTGTTGTCTCTTTTCTAGTATGACACTATGCCCTTTGTGATATTACATGATCAAATTTGAAACTCGCTGTGATTCCGCTTTCAAGCAAGATCTTGCCCTTGTTTTGGGGCAGCATGCACACTTATCTGAGCACCTTTTTATAAGGTATGAAACAAGATGGGGCATGATGGAAGCATGTGTAAATACCTGAAATGTGTTCAATCACAAGTTCATTCTTGATCCATGGCTCTGACTGAGGATAATATCAGTTATAATCGTGAGCCCACTTACTAAATCTCAATCCCAGCAGATTTGAAAGTACTTGATTTCGTTAACAATTTCACCAAATTTCTTACAGTCAGGTGAAGACACGAAAGCAGTTATTAGAGTGCATAAGGGGCCCTTTAAATAATACCCTACGGATCCATTTAGGTGATGGTTTTCTATCACTTTTTTGTTTATAACCATGTAAGCTTTCTAGAATTCTGCACTGTGAAAACATTCCTAAAGACACTGGCACTGTACTTTTTTTTTTTTTTGCTCCAACCATGTTTGCAAGCACTGCTATAATTCTAGTGTCACAGACAAAGAAACTACATTTATTCATTCATAGATATTTTGAAAAACTTGCACTAGATTGTGTAACTACACACATCATCCCATCAGCGCCATGGCAGCACTAGGTTTTATATTTGTATCAAGTTTGAGTCAGTGAGGATATCTTGACTGTTTAATTTGTTTTGGCTTGGTGTGCTGCTTGGGTTCATGGGTCAGTGATCAGAGTTTGAAGGTAAAGTTTTATAACATGCTACGTGACTGGAATAGATGAAGATACGGTATACACATACAGTGTGCTTTGCAAAAATATTCAGAGCCCTTGAACAGTGAGTTCTATGCGACATACTCCCATATTTCAATTTGGAGACGTGAAAATGTATGTGAATATAAGGAAAATCCTTGCCATAAACTCCTAACTACTACTAACTCTAACTAATGTGATATCACATGACACTGTCCATGTCAAATACTGGTTGAATAGATTTTTTTTTTTTATGTTTTACATTTCCTACTAATTCTCAGTTGAAGATTCACAAAGGCAATAATCTGTAAAGGGATTAACAGACAAAAGTTGGACTGTTGTAGGTCTTCCCACAGTTCATACAGTATGTGATGATGAAGATATACTTTCCCCTATTGAACTGGTTTTGAATCTTAATGTTTAGTCAGCATCTACTGCACCTTGTATGTTTGGGTGTATGTGTGTATGTTCAACAGTTAATCCCTACACACTGACCTACTGACTTTGTCTGGTCGTGTGTTAAAGTGTGCATATAATTTCTCAGAAGCAGCATGTTTGATGATTCATTCATATCTTTACAGTGACCCCCTGACTGTGGTTTGAATGCCAGACTGAGATCCAGCATTAATATTAAACTTTATGACGCCAGTGGTCAAGATGTTGTAACTCAGGTTGGTGTTTAACCTTAGCTCTGTCACGCAGGTTGTTGACCTGTACATAAGCATGTGAACAGCTGTGGTTAACTGATCAAATCTAAAGAGCAAATGTAACTTTTTTGGGACGGGTGATGTGTCATTTAGGCATTCATTTTGCTTACATGCAACTAACCATGAAATCAGAGGATTAGCCTACATACACGTCAACTTTCGTTTTTCAGTTCAAGCTAAATGGAAGCTGAAGGGCTTTTCCACAACTTTATTGTTGGTGAAGTATTATGAAATGTCACACAACACAAAAAGTAAAGTTGGACTGGGACTAAACAGATTTAAAGAAAAGTAAAGAAAGTGTTGTGCATGTGTTATTGCAATGATTCCCAACCAAGGGTACCCCTAATAGTACTTCTGCAGTTGCCAGGGCTATGTGGAAAACAGTTTGATTTGATAATATATATCCACATATTTGTGTTTGTGAAAAATCAATACACAAAAGTAAGATCACAAATAATCTACCAATTATGGTAGTGTGCACAATACATGCCTCTGTTTTACACCAAACTGAGTCAATTGTAAGTGTATTAAAACTGCGGAATTGAAAGAAAAGACAACTAAATGTAACAATAATGTAAATGGTTGAAACAACCAGTTTCTGCCACTCCAAGTAGTCCAAATGCAAACTTGGCCAAAAACACCATAAAGCCATTCGATTTATTAAAGATGTATGATAAAGGGGTACTGTGGGGGTACATCGGACAAAAAAGGTTGGGAATCACTGTGTTATTGCTCCTGATCCATTCTTTGACTGCATGCACACCGTTCTCCTCCTCGCTGAGGGATTTTTGCCGTTGTGTAGGGCATGAACCCTTGGTCAGGAGGCAGCAAATAATAAGTTGGCTCTGTCATGCTCACTTTACACACATGCACACACATCGAGGCACTGCCATAAACCAGGACTTGTTCATCGACAGGTCCACCTTTATTTCTGTTTTAATTTGTCTATTGATTAGGAATATGATCAGATATGTGGACATGTGATTTCTGTGGAAATGTCTGATGTATGAACCATTGTTGAACCTTTGTTTTTTGGACAGAAAGAATGTTAAGTTTTTGTGTCTGTGTAGTTTTTACAAATATCGTGCTTTTCGACTGAGAGACACTTTATGTGGCATGTACCAGCTGGTCCAAACCAGGTCCAGCTACCTGGTATGAACCAAAGTTGTTTAACAGACTGTTCCCTAGTACGCTGGTGCCCTGTTGTAGACATCTTACATGCTGTGGCCTCTCTCTGCAATAATTGCTCTATGAGCTTCCAGTGTGAGCGATAAGATAACCGGTGAGAGGTTGTAGCTTCCAGCGTTTTAATTTCATTAGCCTTCTGTCGCATATCTAAATATAAATATGCTGGACAGTGAACTTTGTGACCAAATGACCTCTGTGATTGATTTGTATTGTCTTACATGTTGATATTGAGCAGAAACCTAAGAAAAATACATTAATAACAATCATTATAGAATAGATTCGCACATTCCAGCCTGTCAGCAGTTTATTTCCATGTTGATAAACACCACTGCATTTTGTTTCTTTATTCAACTCTAATTCAGCAAATGTCACATCTATTCTTGCACATGGTCAAACATGAAGCCAGCTAAAATATATTTCACTGCACTCAGTTTTGCCTGCTATATACTAGATATTGTGTGTTTCCTGTATAGACCTTATGCTTAATGTATATACATATGCCTGTATGTGATTGTGTTATGCTCAGTGGATTTGAATGTGCTGTTCAGTATTCCTTAAAGGCACCTTCTATTCCTGTTCCTGGATTTGATTCAATTGTACTGATTTTTAATTAAATGGGGAACAAATCTGAAACTGTCTCATGTCATTTGTGATTGATGGATTCAAAGGGTGAAGAGAGCAATCATTGTTACTCAGTTACTCATCATTACTCTTCCAAATTCCAAAGTCAAATCCCGTGGATTTGGGTAAACACAACTTAAATTCATAGTTGCCTTTTTTGGGCAGGATTAGAGAGGATGAAAAAAAGAAAAGACTGCTTCAGTCACTGTCTCAGTATAAAAGTGTGCGCGTCTCACTTGACAGGCACAAAAAAACCCACACGCAAAGATCGAGGTAAGAAGGAGAGATGACACACTTGTCGTTGTGGAATATTTTATTGCCGAATTCTGTTCCTTTTACTGCTATTGTTGAGTTAGTTGGGTAATATCTTAGTGATATGTATATTTGGCTATTCATGTGCATATGATCAACATGACTGGATCAAACAAGAAAATTCAAAAATGGTGTTTTTCTGGTTATCAAAGAAGTGCAAAATAGTTTCTCAACGGTGAATTGTTATCAACTGATTTCCACATTTTGCACTGCTACAATTGCGCACTTACAGTTTGTAAAAAAAATGAATGAAAAAAAAGCAGAGTCTGAAAACATTGCACATCTCTGACTCAGAAAATGTCATCCAGTAGGTCATTCTAAAGTTTCATCGCGGTGAAAGATCACCTTTGCTCTTCTTTCTTATAAGTTTTATGACAGAACCTGAGATCAGGGGTTGATAAGTTGGGGTATAAGAGTTCATTAATCTGACTAAAACATCAATTGCTTCATGCCGTATGTAATCATAAATATCTTCAAAGCAATTTTATAATTGAATGCAAGTTGGAGTGAAAAGATTTTACGATGTCTGATCTACCTTCCTTATTCTACTGTAGTTAAAGTGTCACTGGAGCATTTTGAATGAGCACACGTTAAGATGCGTTTAGGAAGAGTAGGAAAATACATGCACTAAACCGTCATATTACTGAACTGTCTCGTACTGTAGATGACAGTGGGTGAGATTGAAAGTTTAGTGGAATTAAATACTTAAATCCTACCCCAGTGATGAGTTAAAAACATTATTCCCATTTGTTCATGCAGCTCCATCATGGTGCACAGAGTAGCAGTGATCGGGGCGGGCCCATGTGGTCTGACCAGCATAAAGGCTTGTCTGGATGAAGGCTTGGTGCCAACCTGCTTTGAAAGCAGCGATGACATGGGCGGACTGTGGAAGTTCAAGGCAGGTCACCACTGTGGAAAAAACACTGACAACCATTTTGTGTTTATGCACCAAGCTAGTCGAGTGAACCTGGATGAGAAGGATTAAGTTGCTGTCAATCTTACAACCATTGTTCTTTTTACATGTTTGTCATTTGAAACCTCGTCTTTGCAGGAAGTGTCCGAGCCCAACAGGGCCAGTATCTACCGTTCCCTCACCATCAACATCTCCAAGGAGATGATGTGCTACAGCGACTTCCCCATCCCTGCTGATTACCCCAACTATATGCACCACTCTAAAATCCTAACATACTTCAGGATGTATGCAGAACACTTCAAACTGTTGCGACATATTCGCTTCCAGGTAACAAAATGTGCAGAAAGGAGTATGTTGTGCATTCAACATATCACTGCAGTTTAAAGAGAGGTCATCTGATCTACTGGTATATATATTTTAGACCTCAGTGAAGAGTGTCAGACAGAGACCAGACTTTTCACGTACTGGTCAGTGGGATGTGGTGACCGAGAGTAGAGATGGACAGGAGGAGAGGCATGTCTTTGATGCAGTGATCTGCTGCTCCGGTCACTACACGTACCCTAACCTGCCACTCAAAGACTTCCCAGGTAAAGACATTTACAGATGTCTTTCCCATGCTTGCATTAATATGAGGCTTTTTACGTTTTATGAGGGAAACATAGCATATTCACTCCTTGCTCCTAGCCTCTAAGAGTAACACATTATATGAAGACATAACTCTGCTGCTTTGCAGGAATTGAGACATTTGAAGGAAAATACTTCCACAGCTGGGACTACAAGGGGCCTGAAGACATGTACGGGAAGAGAGTGGTGGTCATCGGCATCGGTAACTCAGGAGGCGACATCGCTGTGGAGGGCAGCAGAGTTGCAGAGCAGGTTGGGAAGTCTTTTCTGATTGCTGTTGTCTTCCTTTGATACATATCACTTATTCAAGATAACTCATGCTCTCGCTCTGCAGGTGTATGTGAGCACTCGTCGTGGTGCCTGGGTCATCCGTCAGGTTTCTGACAACGGTATGCCAGTGGACATGAAGTACAACACGCGTTTCGTCCACATCTTGTTCCAGCTGTTGCCAGTTAACATCCTCAACCGGCTTGGTGAGAAGAAACTCAACGCCATGTATGACCACACCATGTATGCACTCAAACCCAACCACAGGTAAGATGTGATGTTAGTACCAAATACATTATCACTCTGCATGAAGTTATACTTGACTCATAATGAAGAAAGGTGGGTCGAATGTGTGCATGTACAGTATTTCAATTCGCGTGTTAGTCACTCTCCCTGTTATTATCATCCAAATATCTTAATCTCTCCCTTGTTACCTTGTATCTACCTTCTTTTACTGCCTCATCAGACTCTTCAGTCAGATCCCAGTGATCAACGATGACCTGCCTTTCAAGATTCTGTCTGGCTCTGTTATTGTCAAACCAAATGTGAAGGAGATCCGAGGCTCCACTGTAGTGTTTGAGGATGGCAGCACTGTGGAAAAGGTCAGAGAACCTTGTTTGCAAGGATACCCACAAGAATCTTTCTTTATTGCAAGCACAATTTAAGCTTATCGCTTCCTTGTCACAGGTGGATACGATCGTGTTCGCCACAGGATACAACTATGGTTTTCCTTACTTGCCGAGCAATGCTATGTACAAGTCTGGGTACCGTGTTGGTCTGTACAAGCACGTTTTTCCTCCCAACATGGAGCATCCCACTCTGGCTGTCGTGGGTTTCATCCATGCCCTTGGAGCCATCATGCCCCAGGCTGAAATGCAGGCCCGCTGGGTCACACGTGTATTGAAAGGTGGGGCCTCATGTCTGGTTTATCCTTGGTCTCTAGTCTAGATACTTACCAGTCACATCAGTCTATTTACCTTTGTTTACCTTTACCTTTGTCTTTTGCTCTGCAGGACATAACAAGCTGCCCTCAAACCAGGCCATGATAAAAGCTGTTGAGAAAGACACCAAGGACATCGAGAAAAAGTAAAGCTCCCAATATTCCTTGGCCTCAATTATTTGTTTCAGCCAACATTGTCCCTTCTTCCTTTATATCCCTATGGAATGAATGAATGATCCCACTTGCATTTTTAAAGCTGCATTCATTTTGATCCTGTGTGGCCACTTGGGGGCAACAGAACAAGCTACGCCATGACATAGTACCGCCAAATAAAGGTGTCATAAGTAACATGTTAGCAAAGAGTTTCCTATTACACATATAGCAGATACAGAGCAACATTAGCATTTATTTGGAGTCATCCTTCTGGTCACTTGAATGTAAGTCCAACATTCAAATTCCATTAGCCATCTGGAGTTCATTCTCCGTCAGGACCACCTCCATATCAGGCTCTTTAACTGCTAAATGTTAATGAGACTATTAGTTCATGCAGCTATGAAGTTACAAATTCATGATTAACAAAGATTGTTTAAGTATTCTTTTGAACCTGTTTCAGCAACTTTTTACATTTTTGACAGCAATAAAATTCTTCAAATTAAATGATTTATTCATGGATAGTTAACACACTAGACTGAGTGCAGACAAAGCATGCTATATTTTATATTCATTTTGAACTTTTTTGTTGAATACCTACATTAACTTCTGATTAATGCTCTCCACAGCTTCATTGTGTCAAAGTTGACACCCCTGCAGGTTGACTTTGTTTCCTACATGGATGACATAGCAGGAGAAATTGGGGTGCGGCCAAGTCTCCTCTGGCTTTTCTTCACAGACTACCCTCTGTTTAAGAGACTTCTCTGGGGACCTGTCACAACCTACCAGTACCGCTTGGTGGGACCAGGAAAATGGGAGGGAGCCCGCAGGGCAATATTCACCCAGTTTGACCGCATGTACCAGCCCCTAAAAACCAGACAGGTCTGCAATGAACAATGTTTCTTCTACATTCTGTACACCTTGCATACCATGCTAAATGCATAATGGACCTGTCCCTGAGTCCCAACATATCTGAACTTGAAGTACTGTATGTATTAAGTATGAGTGTCTAACCTTTTGGCCAAACTTAAACATAACCCACCGTCTCTTCCAGCTGAAGGACCAAGAGACCTCTATCACCAGCCGCCTGATTAAAGTGAGCCTGATCATCACGGCCGGAGGAGCTGCGGTCTACTACTTCCATGTGCAAAACCCAACCACCTTAACCACCATGCTGTCCAAGCTCAGATGCAGCTTCAATCAAACGATGTGAAAAATACACCAAATACCATATCTACAGTTTCTTGATGCCTTGAGAAATCTAGGTCATGCTCCTGTTTGAGTTGTGATGAATCATTGTAGGGGTCACTGAGCTACTGATTAATGTTAGGTATTACTGTTGTGAAGGAATTTTCCTAAGAGGACCTAGGTGGGTAAAAGGTAGTAGTTACGGATCATACAACATGTCACACTTGGCTCACCCACAAATGACCTCTGTCTCTCAGGCAATAGTTCATGCTGCTGTTTTCCTTCATGGGTGCATGACGACACCTACGTAGGAACGAGCCATTGCCTAGGCAGCCAAGAACGGGATACATGGTGCTCTTCTTCAGTCTAAGATGTTTACAGACAGACTGTCTCCCTGAATAAAGAATTAGCCTACATGTGACCTCGTAATTCTAACATGACTACGTAATGTAGTAAAACATTAGGTTTCAACATCTAATACTATGGTTACACACAGTTAGGCCCGTAGAGAATGACCGTAAAGGGATAAATATTGTGGCCCAAAAAGGGATCTTCACATTTGGTTTCGGCACTACACTGTGTCCTCTCTTTGTTCCGCTGTGGCCATTCTCCTTGAGC